GATACACATATATGGACTTACTCATGGGCCTCTGTTATAAAATTAAACACAAATATTAATCCATTTATGGTGGGGAACTTTTAATTTTCAGCCAGCTCTAAACCAATCAGAAATTTTGAAGAGATGTATGTTATTTTTAAGTAACTTTCAAAAATAAAATGCAACTGTTTTATTCAAACGATGTAACAAAGGTAAGGCAGAACAATAATTGTTACTTAATAAGATAAATGACCTATGGTTGCAATGATATTAACTATACTTTCAATATGAAATAATTGGCTATATATATATACTTCTTGAACCTTGGGTTTATGTCATATATTTCATAATAGCTCTAAAAACTACTTGAAAGTATGTCCAGCAGACAGTAGCTCTTATTGGGTATGTATCAGGCTTCCTCATCTTTTCATCTTCCTCTAGTTTTGAAATCATGGGCGTTTTGAAGAAGGAGTGAGCTCACAGCTAAAGGACGCCACTGTCCACAAGGATACCTGTGTCCTAATAATCACTCTGCAGAGAAGATGGTCAGGAGGTTTAGGCACAATCAGGTTCATAAACTGCTGAGGTAAACAGCATTTTAAGATGGCCCCTATCCTGGTGTTACTCCCATGATTATGTTATTTCATATGACAAATGGGAGATTCTCCAGGTATAAATAATCTAATCACATGAGCCCTTAAAAAGCAATGAATTTCTACCAGCCAGAGGAACAGGGAAGTCAAAGAGATCTGAGGTGCAGGAAATATTCTAAGCACCGCTGTTGGTTTTGAAGGTGGAAAGAGCTGTATATCAAGGAATTCAAGTGGCTTCCTGGAGTTGAGAGCAGCTCCCACCTGACAGCCAGCAAGGAAACAGTGATCTCAGTCCTCCAACCACAGTGACTAAATTCTACCAACAAGAATTAGCTTGAAAGTAGACTCTTCACCAGAACTTTCAGAAAAGAACCTAGCCTGGCCAAGACCTTGATTTCAGTCTGCTGAGACGCTTAGCAGAGAATATAGCTAAACCAGTCTTGTTCCCCAAACTTCTAAAGAATAGATGGATGTTGAATTAATTAATGGGTATTGTTTTAACCTAGTAAATTTGTAATTTGTTATGCAGCAATAGAAAACTATCACAAGTACTTAGTGGCATTTGACATATAGAAATGATTTATAGATTATGTTTTTATTAATAACTCAAGGACTCAAGTCATTTTAACTTTCTTAGGTTTCATTTCTTTGATTTGTAAAATGAGGTTTAACTAGCTAAGTTACAAGTTCCACTCTCAAAAGTCTAGGGACGTTTAGCTTTCTGCAACTGTGATGACATATCTTGATCTGTCACCATCCATTCACCTCTCCAGCTGTGTTCTTCATGCTTCAGTACTCTGTGCTATGCCCCAGGAGGCTGGCCCCTATGGACACTATCATTAGGCTTCTTTGTCACTAGCACTGGGGCAATGGCTTCCTACAAGTGTGTAACATGATTAAGGGACAATGAGCCCTAACATAAGTTGGAAGCAGAAGGAGGGAGTGCTATGAATTGAATTTGTCCCCTCAAACTCATATGCTAAAGCCCTAATCCCTAATGTGACTTTATTTGAAACTGGGGATCTTAGGACATAATTTAGGTTGAAAGAGGTCATAAGAGAAGGGTCACAATCTAATAGAATTGTTCCTCTTATAAAAAGAGGAAGAGAAATCTCTCCCTCCTTTTCTCTTCACACGCATCAAGGCAAGGCCACATGAACATACGATGGGAAGGCAGCTGTCTACACAGTAGGAAATGAACCCTCTCCAGAACCCAAGCATTCTGGCACCCAATCTTGCACACTGCAGCCTCTAGAAGTACAAGAAAATAAATTTTTATTTCAACTACCAAGTCTATTATGTAATTTATGTTATTTTGTAATAACAGCCTGAGCAGCCTAATAAGGGGTAATAAGATTGTCAGAGGCAGTGCTTATGCTGAGACTTCTTTCTTACTGTTAGGAGGCAGAAATTTTCAGATAGAAAATACATGCAATAAAATATAATAAACACAGGCAAAGAAATTTCAAAGCAAAGCATCTATCAAGGAAATAGAGCACAGGGAAATTGAGAGGGAGCGGGAGAGGCTGGAAAAGCAAGCAGAGACCAGATTTTGAGATGTAACACGAAAGGCCAAAGACTGTGCACAAAGGATCATTCTTGTGGTTGTGTGGAAGGCCAGACAGATAAAGAGGCAGAGAAAATTTAACTGTGAGTTTTGAAATGTGCAGCATGAAGCCTCTGAGTCCTAAAACAGGGAACACCAAAAACATGGAGAAGGTGAAGTGGCTGGGGTCCTTATACCCCAAGTCAACATCAAGCACAAAAGTTCTATAGCCTTAGACTAGACCTGGAATCTTTGTTACACTGAAGACAACTCATCTAGAATATTTTACTTCAGATTTGTATGAAAAACTGCTGCATCTGTAGGTCAAAGGCACCTGTCTCAAGTCTTCCAGTTATGATGAAAAAGTCATGAAATTTATCAAGAATTTTAACTAAGAGAGCAATGTGTTTAGACTCATGCCAGGAATATGACAGAACTACTAAGAAATACCATCTGGAAAGACTGTTATCAACCCAGTGAGTTTAGAGGCAACATCAAAAACCTTAAACTTGTGTAGCTCTTAGATTCTCAGATATGCCCAGTTCATTAACAGTCTGTGTGATGAAACTAAAATGAAAAGGTGATTTTCATGCTATGGAGATCTGTTCTTGTCTGACATATTTTTGTCTGAAAATATCAGACTAAAGTGATCAGCAATAGGAAAATAATATAGATTAAAACTAACCTGCTTCTGAGAAAAAGGTCATATTTCTTAGGAAAAAGCTTTAAAAATCTTACTAGCAGTTTTTGCAAATTGTATAGCTGTACTGGAAAGAATACAGGCTAAGTATCCCTTATCCAAAATTCTTGGGATCAGAAGTGTTTCAGATTTCAGATTTTTTTGCATTTTGGAATATCTGAATAATCATAATGAGACACCTTGAATATTGGACCCAAATCTAAATATGAAATTCATTTATGTGACATATACACCTTATAAATATAGGCTGAAGGTGATTTTGGCAGAGTATTTTGAATAATTTTGTGCAGGAAACAAAGTTTTTACTGATTTTGACTGTAACCCCTCTTCATATGGTAATAAGTGTGCAATTTTTGACTTATGGAGTTGTATTGATACTCAAAACATTTCAGATTTTGGAGCAGTTAAGATTTCAGATTTTTGGGTTACAGATTCTCAACTTCTATTATTCTTAAAACGGTAAGGCAAAAACTACATCCAGCAGAGGGCAGTGCAGCCTTCTGTGAAGTCAAGTGGTAGCCAGGACTGAAACCAGTTTGCACATCAAGAGGGTGAAATGCTCTAGTCCATGAAAACTATTTTGAGTTCGGGGACTTTAACTGATTGGAACATGACAGATATATTGCCTATATGTCCCTCGAAAACTTAGCACAAAGAAGACTTTATTTAAGTTTGTAAGAACTACCAGGAAAATTTTAGCTCCCTAAAAATAAAGAATAGTATCATTATTTCTTGAAGGTTTCCATTGCCTTCATTTTTTTCCCTTAAAACCTCTTAAATAAGATAGCTTTTAGAGGAGCCTAACATCCAAATTTTATTCACTCATACTCTCCTTTGTTCTATACTGTACACAGCCCAAATGGCTGATGAAATTATTTAAAGAGTTTCCTGTGAAAATGTGTAGTATGGAATTGGGTCTCAATGAGATTCTAACAAGGCAGCTGCCATCCTAAAATTGTACCGTTGATTATTTCTTCTAACAAAAATATGCTGGTTCTAAGTTTGAGCAGACTTGTGAACTACCACCTGACAACCATTGATTAAGAACATTTATGTTATTCATAAATATAGGTTTTAAATACTGATTTTAGATTTATATGATAAACATATTACCTTAAAAATGACATATAAATAAGATGTACATATAAAATTCTTATTATTGATCCACTTACACTTGTCTTGCATTATATATGGACTTGATTCAAACCAAGATACTACAATAAATTACTTTTTTTCTTTAAGGCTGGGCACACTGGCTCACGTCAGTAATCCTAGCGTTCTGGAAAGCCGAGGTAGGTAGATTGCTTGAGCTCACCGAGTTCAAGACCAGCTTTGGCAAAACCAAGGCCCCATCTCTAGTAAAAAGGATGAGGCAAGAGGATCGCTTCAGCCCAAGAGTTGGAGGTTGCTGTGAGCTTTGATACCATAGCACTCTGACAAGGCAACAGCTTGAGATTCTCTCAAAAAAAAAAAAAAAAAAAATTCAAGTATTCCTAAGTTTTTAAGTAGTAAATTTACAACTGAAAAATTTAAAGAGATCTAAATTCCACTTATTTCTTGAGACAAAGATGTGAATATTCAATTTAGCATTCATATTTATTACTTGTTGAAAATGCAGAGCCGAACTGTGAAGTTACCAATTTTTTGGAATAAAAATTAAATTGTTAAACAGTTGCAGAAGATTACCACAAATTTATTTACCACTCAGAAAGACATACTCGCATTGCAGACTTAACAGGAAACCTGAAAGACAATAAATAAATCAAACAACTCTAAATACGGTTCTTATGGTCTAATTCAGGGGTCTTCAAACTTTATAAACAGGAGGCCAGTTCACTGTTCCTCAGAATGCTGGAGGGCCAGACTGTGGGCCCTGGGACAAGTCAGCTGCTAAGCAGGACAGGCAGTGGCAGCAAAAACACCCAGCGGGCCGGATAAATGTCCTAGGTGGGCTGCATGTGGCCCGTGGGCTGTAGTTTGAGGACGCCTGATCTAATTCACTCAGTTAAATTTGGTGTTATGAAGACAGACAGCTTCGCGTATTTTCATTTCTTTAAAAAGAAATTAACAGGTCTACAACTTAGCAACCATGCCAAAGGACTTAGAAGGTATCTACATTGCCTGAAAAAGTATTGTTCAAAAGTGTGAATTACTAATGTAGTTATAGTTTTCAAAATTATACCTCCAGAAGTGCAGTTCGAATCCTTCACATTTCTCTTTGCATTTTAAACAGGGGGCTCCAAATCCTTGCTCATGACCTAAGCCCATCTGTTAAGGAGAAAACAACATGAATCTATTATTACATTTTTTAAAAATCTAAAAAATTCAATAATTGTACTTCTAATTCCACTTACTACTTGTGTTGATTAAACTTTCAAACAAATCTTTTATGAGTATTACAATGTTTAGACAACGATGATTTCCAGGTATATATACGGCAGCTCCAAGTACATACATAACATACTTGTTATATTCTTACTGCTTTTTATCATGAAAAGAACACTGGAATGTAACTGTACAGAAGACTGCAAATGCTGCAAGTTACACAAAGTCATAAATTTATGTCTCTGGCCAGGTCATGCCCTCAACAAAACATGCACAGGGAACAGGACCCAGCTCAGGAAAGCAAGTATGGCCCTAAAGAACATCTGCAGCAAACAAAGAAATGTATGGCAGGCCTTAGGAATTTCAGCTAAAATAATGACATATTATGATAAATGTAATATTAATAGTAACAAACATTTATTGAAAGCCAGTGCTATGGCATGAATGTTTACATTCCTCCCAAAATTCATGTTGCAACTTAATTTCCAATGCAACAGTATTTAGAGGTTGGTCTTTTATGACATTATCAGGGGATTAGGCTTTGAAAGCTCCAGCCTCATGGATGGGATTAGTGCCCCTATAAAATGGCTTGAACAATTACATTTGTCCCTTCCATCTCTTCTTCTCCTCAAGCAGAAAGCAAGCCCACACTGAACAATGAATCTGCTGGTGCCTTGATTTTGGATTTCTTAGCCTCTACAACTGTGAGAAATAAATTTCTATATTCATAAATTACCCAGTCTAAGGTATTTTGTTATAGCAGCAGGAATGAACTCAGGCAAGAACAGAGACTTAAGTGCTTTACTTACCTTACCTCATTAAAATCTTACAAAACTTCCTAAAATGTTTATACAGTAGGCAGTATTATTTTCATTTCAGAAATGACAGAGAAAGAGAAAAGGCAGAGAAGAGATTTGGGTCCAAGTCTTCTTAACTCCAAGGCCCATGCTCTTACACCCAGGGTAAGGTGAATGGCTGTACTATGGTACTATGTGAATGGCCCTTGCTATGGTCAACCATCTTTGTTTCTTTACCATATTAAGTAATAATCCTTGGGAACTTACTGAGAACAGGCAGGCATAGGTGGGGAAGGACACAAGATGGCAATACACGCTCTTTTCCCCAAATAAAGAGCAAAAATATCTGGAGTAGAAAGATCGCCTGACTTTGTATCAGCACAGTAGCAAACCACGGTGATCAGATTATTCCGTATTTTAAATATCACATTAGTGAGTGTGACAAATTAATTACTGGCTAGTGTCTAGAGTAGTTGTTCAAGAGGAACAAATAACAGATCTTTTTCAATGTCCCTCTTCTGTAACATTACCAAGTTATGTGCCATCAAAACCACATTGCAACCTGTTCCTTGAAAGACTGACCTGACATGGCCTGAAGTGAAGCTCTTTCATTTTTGTTCTGAAGGAAATGACCACATCCTCTTACCCTCACCAAGGCCATGTTCAAACCTAGCTTGTCTAGCAGGCTGCTAAGGAGAACCCACATTATTATTATATATTTTTTTGAGGCAGTTTCACTTTGTTGCCGTTGGTAGAGTGCTGTGGCGTCACACAGCTCACAGCAACGTCCAACTCCTGAGCTTAAGTGATTCTCCTGCCTCAGCCTCCCGAGTAGCTAGGACTACAGGCACCGGTGACAACACCCAGCTATTTTTTGGTTGCAGTTTGGCCAGGGCCAGGTTTGAACCTGCCATCCTCGGTATATGGGGCCGGCACCCTACTCACTGAGCCACAGGAGCCGCCCTGAACCCACATTATTTTTAAGTCACACCATCTTAAGCATAGTCTGCAAAGTATACAAACCTGTCCAGAATTTGCTAACTTTATCACCTTTGCCATGTATATATCACTAGTTTTCAAAAGAACTGAAATTCTCTAAGTTGTATATTTAACATTCTCTAATTGATATATAAACCCTAAACGTTTTTTTAAGGAATGGAATTATTTGTCACTGACAATCACAGTACACATAATGGAAATAAAGTGGGTTAAACAAAGACAGAGGCAGATTGAGTTTTCTTGTCTTTTCTAAGAGCATTATAACATTCTAAGTAAAATGAAAAGCAAATCTAAAAAGCTGTATTCTTAGGCTGTGCATGGTGGCTCACACTTGCAATCTTAGCACTCTGGGAGGCTGAGGCACATGGATTGCCTGAGTTCACAGGTTCTAGACCAGCCTGAGCAAGAGTGAGACCCCCATCTCTAAAAATAGCCAGGTGCCTGTAGTCCCAGCTACTTGGGAGGCTGAGGCAAGAGAATCATTTGACCCCAAAAGTTTGAGGTTGCTGTGAGCTATGAGGCCACAGCACTCTACCGAGGGTGACAACGCAAAACTCTTATCTCAAAAAAAGAAAGAAAAGAAAAGAAAAAAATTAAAGGCTGTATTCTTTTTCAAGCCTTTTCTAGCTTTCCATTATAGGAGAGTTAAGCCTTAATCTGCCTGGTATGTAAATTTGCTCCATGTATCTCTTGGTACATAAACTCCAATCCCAAATGAAAATTAAGATTACATTATTAAGGTTTAATCATATAGCTTAGTTTAAGTCAGAGGCTTTTTTTTTTTTTTTGCAGTTTTTGGCTGAGGCTGGGTTTGAACCCGCCACCTCTGGCATATAGGGCCAGCGCCCTACTCCTTTGAGCCCTAAGTCAGAAGCTTTTAAACACTCTGGTACATAACTCTCAGTAAGAAATGCATTTCATCTTGTGACAGAATTTGCTATACAAGTACAACCTTATGTGTTTTATAAAACCCTGAGATCTGCTAGCTAGAACTAAGTACACTCCATTGTACTTTATGTACTTTTTTTAACACTTTATGTTAAATGGCCACCTAAACAAATTCTTGCCTGCCTTCAAATCTCAATTCCCTGGTCTGAGCACAACTGGGCTTAATAAAGGACTGCAATCATACTGGAACACTACCATCTCATTCTCTATTTTTGAATGCAACTTGAAAGTTCAGCTAATGTAACTCAAACCTTAGTCAGCAGAGTTTTTACACTAAGCCTCAGTGTAGCTCACGGTTGACTTACAAAGTCAACCTTGCAAGAGAACAAGTTATTTTTTTCCTATTCACTTTTCATCTTCCTAGAATGGTAATCAGTGTATCTATTAGAATTATTAAAACCAGTGGTATTTCATGAATATCTACGCTTTCGTGAACATTCTTTTTCTGAACAGGACCAGGTGCCCTCTAGTGTAGGAGATTAGGGAACTAAAACCCAGAGAGGAGAGATGACTAGTTCTCAGTTGCTTAGCTAAACTGAAAGCCAGGGTCTGGCTCCTGCTCCGTGTTCTGCA